ACGTACTCACGAGGGAATATGACTTAATTTGTAAAATGATGAATTTGAAAACATTCCACCAAAATACATTACCATGTTTGCAGAATATGATTACTGTGCAAAATCTACACCTAAGTGATTTGAGGTTGTGTTTAAAAAATATTTCCATTTATTTTTTCCCCCATGCCTCTTTCCAAGTCAAGAATTTTAAAAGGCTGCATTGGCCTTGACATTGATTATATATGAGAGTTTTGACAGCATGGTGGGGAAAACAGGGAGCCAATGTTGTGACGCGCCACTTAGACAAGGGCAGCGTCACATGACATTACAAAGGTTCAAAGCAATGGAGCTTTGAATGGCAGTGGTCACGCTCTATGAACGAAATTGAGGAATTAGGATTTTGTATTGATGTGGTTGAATGACGGTGCTGTTAGATTGCTGCTGAACAGCACCAAAAAAGATGTCAGTGACAGAATAGGGAAAATTACGTTTTTGAATTCTGAACGCAAAAGAAATACGGATTGAAGAAGAATATTTTGAAAGACAAAGAAAAGGACTACGTCTTCTTTCATAACATTTTGTCGGTCTGCTGGTGCGAGCGCCACATGTGCGCATACACAGACATATGCGCGCACGTGTAGGTGTTTTATTTTAATTCCAGCCTCTTTCTGGGGGTGGGGTAATTTCAAAGGGGTTACAGTTAAGTTTGAGAAATGCATCTGAAGAGAAGGTGGATTATTGCACACAATATTTCTGTAAGCTAGCAGTAAGAAAATGAAATAGCAACATGGAATGGAATAGATCAGAAATGAACTAAAACAACACTGTAGTGGTGTAAGGGTTATTGATATTGGACTCAATTTAAGGAGGATTTGGCCAGAAGTGATTTGTGGTACAGATATTGTATAGCATAGTATAAAATAAACGCTGTTAAAGATACTCGAGCTTAGATCAGCTAAATAAAATAAATATTCTAGTGGTTCGTAAAGATATCAATGCGAGCACATTTGCAGCAGTGCGAGTGTTTGTGGTGATGTGTGTGTGCTTGCCCCGGGCAGTACTGTGGGAAAGGCTATAATAGCTTTCCTTTCCTACATATGTAGCGTAATGCTCCCTGGCAGCAGCAGAGCGATGGTGTTTGAAGAGGTGCATCACATTTGAACTTGTGTCACACTTGATGCACCTGACTGGCGGGTTGCATCCATGCTGCTTAACCAGCTTGTGTTCTTCAACCTGCCGACATCATGAGTATGTTGTATTATTGATTGGGCTTAGAAGCATATCTTTATTATTGACATCGCAGGAGGAGTCAAACGAGACACCTGATTTATTTTTTAGCAGGTTGGCATTACTGCAGCTAAATCACTCAATAAACTGTAACGCTGTTTAACAAGCAAACTTCTATTAGCATCTGGTATGAAAGTATTGTTTTGGGCGTTTCTCTTACTGCATAAACCCTTTTAATATTAATATATAATATATATAGGCTACTAATATGAAAACTCGCGCGGGATATTGAATTTACAAAAGCATCAACTTCACGAGACCAAATCAACCTTATAATATAGGGTTTTTGACTGTTTTCAGCTGTAATAAGGTTTGTTCAGTCGACAAAGTGCCAAGTCAGCAACCCAGCTGGCTTGTGAGCTCGCTGTCATGTCGCAGACTGTGAATAAGATAATGTTAGTATGCTAAGTGAGAGTTTCGCTAACTGCTAACTAACCAGCTAGCTCTGAGAAGCTTTTGTGAGTGTTCATGGCTAACTTGTCAGCGGTTAGCTACTGTGTGTTCCACTCTGTCACCGAGCACCTTGCAGCAACTAATTTGCGTGGACAAACCGGGTGTCGTGGGTTGTAGCCTGCTAGCACTGTACATGGCCACCAGGTGCTAGCCAGTGCTCGCCAGTGCTCGCCAGCGGCTGGTCCTCTGTGCATGAATAAATTGGAGCCGTAATGCCTCATGGTCACAATTAATGTTATTACTACAATAATAATTGGAATAAAAAAACAGATTGACGTAACTCCAGGTACTTTTCCTCACCAGGGTCGCTATTGTAAAATGCAAGGTACAGGGAGGCAGATGGCACAAAGAATTAAATATTACTGAGCAGAAATATGAAAATGATAGTCGACTATGCACTAGGGTGGGATGGATAGGGTGGGTGGTTGTATGAGTGTGTGTGGCAGTACAATAACGATTGGTATGTGGGTGAGGTTGTCAGAGCAAGGATTTAAAAAAAAGTGTGGGTCTGAATGGGTGGTGTGATGCGTGTGGGGGAAGAGTTTGTGTGTTTGTGTGTGTGTGTGTGTGTGTTGCCTTCCAATGGCGGATATAGCCAGTGGATCGCTCGCAGCATCTCTAGTCCCATCGTCCCCCTGGATATGTGTGTGCGTGTGTGTGTGTGTGTGTGTGTGTGGTGCTCAGTAGATTGGGCTGCAGAGTGAATGGGCTCATTAGCGGTAGCAGAGTAACACATGGCCTGAGGCACACACAGACACATAGCACTCTCTCTCTCTCTCTCTCTCTCTCTCTCTCTCTCTCTCTCACACACACACTGTCACACCCCAGACTTGCATACTAATGCCTTCAGGCTGTGAACACAACGAGCCTCATTTATAATAAAATATTCTTATATTCTTATGCACCAGGCTGAGCTTTACAACACATTGCAGGCAAAAGATTAAGTCATGAAAAATTGATCTTGGCGCTAAAAAATCAGCTGTTTACACAAATTGTCTCAGTTGTTCAGCGATGGTACAAGGACAACGGACATTTTTTTTATCCTGATGATTAATTAGGTGACATGTTCTTCCAAGATGTTACAAGCAGACAATATGTATCACAACATGTAGCCTGTAACTGTGGAACTGTGGAAAAATGGAAATAGACGTTATCACATCCACACGTGGCAAAGAAAAGACATGAAACTGGAAATTAAAATGGACGGTTGTTCATTTACATTGTCTCCAACCTGATACCTTAGTTTATATAACAATTTGGGAGCCTGCAGCGACTTATGGAGATGAGATTCTTGCGTCGGTAAAGACATTAACACGGGATCGTGCGTAAGACAACAAGAACAACAAACAGGCTTCATTGAAAGATAGTTGAACAAATGTTTTTTTTGTTTATTATCATGCCTTTACGGACATAACAGCAGATGTATTGTGAGGCGATGCAAACACTACAACAACAATAACAAAAAACAGCAGCTTCAGCCCCCGCTGGGGGGATTGACAAGTACGAGAAGTCCTTGGCCTCATGTTCCGCTATAAAACGAGGAAAGCAGGAGAACGAGGCTTAACCATCAGACGGGTTCAATTATTCTAATACTCTGTGTCAAATGAGTTCTGTTAAATTACAATCTGAAATTACGGAGTGAGACACCCTACACTTACACCACCCTACACCATAGAAGAAAGAATGTGCAACTTTTCCGCATTAATTGGACCTGTATTACATATTTTGTTAAATTAAAGACTTAATATGTTGCCAAATGTTGTAACAATTCTCCAAACTTGAGAAATATATCAACTTAATTTGAGGTAACGGCCCATTTAATTTGGTCTCTGCCTGTAAATGGCTTTATATCACCGTGACCACATATTTTACTCTCCCTTTTTAGATCTGGCTCATCTTCAGCTTTATTTGATATGAATGTAAAAGGAAGGATATAAATCTCTGTGATTGATAACCACTGAGGAAATCCTAATTGGGGGAGGCTAACAGCAGTGATGATCAAAACCACCAGAGAGGACAAGAGGAACCGCAGCTCACAGCGTCACCTTGCTGTCCTCTGGGATACTTATTTGTTTTTAATTTTTTCACTACAAAAAAACATTGTTTAACTTTAGAAGGGAGAGTGTACAAAGCCAATTTGAGCTAGTTGTAAATTACCATATTAATATTCACACGCTTTAATGGTAAACGTATCATTGTTAAAAAAAGATTGAGCCAACATAGTTTTCAAATTCAGTATAAAAGTTGTTGGTCTTCCTTTCTTCAGCTTTTGAACAAAAAAACGCATTTGTCCTATAACGGTCTTCAGAGATATGATTAATAAAAAACCTAACCATAATACTTCTTTCCCAGACCAAGAAAAATGTATGTATATATTTTTTTACTACTTTACTACTTATTTCTTCCTAATAAGTAGTAGTAAGTAAAAAAGAAGGGATGATACAAAGAAACCTCACAATCTAATCTAAGTATGATGTTTTATCTTGATGCAATATCACAGAGGTGGGTTTTGTACACTTTCTATGTAAGTGAAATCAAATTTATAATTTTGGTTAAACCATAATGAGACAATACGTAAAAAAAACGGATAAGGAAATCTCAACCTTGGATCTTGGATTCATCACGCATTCATTTATGTGCGCCGATACACAGGATTCTACTGGTGAGCCTGCAGAATCCCCGCTCAGACGTGGACAGAGAGATATATGCGCCCAACCTACAAAGGACATCTGCTGCCTAATTTCGAGGGGTACGTGTGCTGGAGGTTATCGAGCGGGCACCTTCCACCGCAGATGTTTCAGTGAATTAGAGCCACTGCAACTCCAGAAAGGCTCAATGGTGGTTGTATTTTGCAATAACATTCCAGACATTACAGCTCCTGGACAGAATCTTAAACGGCATCCGGCAACCTTCGTCTCTCCAACTTTGAGCTTTAACAATACAGCCAGAGTCATGGGGGACGCCTTTAACCTTAACGGCGCTTCAAACAACAGCTACAGGGAACTGTGCAACGACCGGCCGCGGCTCGCCTCAATGGTTTGTTTACGGGGCAAAGAAGCTTTTATTTACAAAGGTATTGGCTTCTGAGAAAAAGCATGGCGCACCTTTGCAAAGGTAATGCTAAAGAGAATGCATGTGATTGAGGATGGGCAGCCGAATGTGATTGGCTGGCAGATCACATGCCCCCTGATGGAGGCGTGTGGGTTGGTGGGGACGAGCATGTTATGAGCCCTTTAAGTACATCACAGCGTTACAACACAGAGTGCAGCCATTCGTCTTACCTTTGGGCTGTGACTCTGGGCTTGGGCTTGTCAGACACCTGTAAATACACATGCAGAGAACATGCAAACAATGTTATTGGGAGTTCGAATGGAGTTTGAATCTTGAGTGGAGTTTTATTTTGTTTTGAATGAACTCACATTAAAGGATACACAACGCGGATATAAACACAGAGAACGTGTGTTTCCTGTATTGTATCAAATACAGTAACTCAGTGAATTTGTTTATGACACAACGGCGTGAGTCACCAACAAGATGATGTCAGCGGATGTGCGACTTGTCGATACTTTCCCATGTTAAGTGGTAACTGTGAAGCTGTTTGATGAATCAACTGCTGGCAGAGAAGATGAATAATGGAGCAAAAACGTGCTTTTATTGATCCTCCGATAGCTCAAGTCAACTCAGTGAGTCCTTCCAAACCCATAGAACAGGAGGGGCGTGTTTGCAGCAGCACAATGTACTGAGGTGTAAAACGGTGTGCATATTATATTTATACTCCATATGCACTATTTTCTTAAGTGTCATTTCTCTATATTTAACAGTAAATATTGCAGCTGATGCTAATGTTACTATTACTACTGTTAAATATGAAAGGGAAAACAGTTCCTCGGGGAGTATTGATTTGTTTATGTTATTTATGTTGGTAAATTTAATGACATTGGTGACATGGGACAATCAGTATTAGCATCACTGTACTGTACTTGTCACTTTTTTAATTTAATCATATTATAATAAATATAAATACAAGCAAAGTCTCTTGAAAATATATTTTAATATGAGAAAATATTGTCTATTGAAGGTTTTGTTGGTGTCTTAAAGTAGGCTGGGCTTGACAATAAACTGACAACCGCATGGATAGTTCAATAATATATGTCTTATCTACATGGGTATATAGATATCTATATTTATATCAATACACACAAACAAGGTGAGTGAAGTACCTCAAAGGGAATATCATTTATGCCCTGAGACTACTACGACAAACAATAGTAGTACATTACAATCATATAATCTTGATCCACACGGATATATATAGTTATAGAGCTATACATCTATATACATAAACAAGTTTAGTGAAGTTCTTTGAAAGAAATAAAAGCTTGAGGATAAATTATAGACCGTACCAATCGATACAGCTCAAAGACACTTTCCAGCCTTCTCCCTTTTAGCCACTTAAACATCCACTCTTCTGACCCTCAATCTGCTCTCTTCTTCTTCCTCCTCCTTGTACTCAAAGAGGAGCCGAGAAGGGTTTTAATTGTCATTAAAATGAGTAAAAACACCCTCTCTCCCCTCCTTCCCTTGTTCGCTCCCTGCTCCCTCTCTTCACCCCTGCCTCAGTTCACTCCTTTATTCCTATTCACACTTTTCCTCCTTTCAGCAGAAGAACGGGGGTGATTAAGTTTGACAGTAAAGCTTTTCCAGCCCTCCCATCCTCTCGTTCTCCTTCCGTCAACTCTGAGTCAATTTCGTACATGACTACATTAATTACGATGACAAAACAAAAACAATAAAACTTTTTGTCCAGTGTAAATATCAGCTATTTCAGACCAGTGGAACATTTAAAACAAATTACTTAAACAAAAAGGGGACCCTTCATCGCCTCTGGCAGTTGTTTCCCTCTCTAAGAATAAGGTGATTAACCGAACCAGTTGAGATTGTGATAGATCGATGAGTTGCTGCTGGCGAGAACAACAAAGCTCCTCAGATCTTTGGCTGTGGGGGACTCGCAGGGCTCAGCGTATCTATGAGTGAATATACTTGGCTTCCCGGTGGCTTTACTTGGATTTAAATAAAAAAGAACAACCCTGTCGGTGTTTACAGGCTCAATCTCCTCCGTTAAAAACATTGCTGTAAGTATTGCATCCGTTTCACCGAGGCCTCACAGTACTGAGCGCTGCGGCCGGGACGATGCGGTTGAACAAGGCTTTAAACGCCCGCGCGCCGCCTTCAGCTGCAGCTGAACAATGAATTCTCCGCTCGTCTGCGCGGCGTCATTTTACTTTGCGGGAGAGACTCTTTATAAAGCTTTTTCAAACACCTGAACGGCGGGCTTAAAATCTTCAATTATGTGATGAAACTCTTGCACGGAGGTTGCACCGCAGAGAATGTAGCAGCTACCGGATCTTCACGAGAGCAAAACAAAGAGACTCCATATGCCCGAATTTTGTGTCTTTCAGTCGGCTGGTCCTCTTAGGGCTTTCACATTCCCACTGACATCTGATGAGAGGATACAGTCACACAGCCATCGAGCCGAGTACCTCCTGTGTCAACAAGACAGATAGCGTTTTACACAGTAATACCTACATTGCACAGAAGGTAAAGGACCAAATGAGCGAATGTCCCTCACATGTCAACCAGATGAGATTTCTCTATTTACTCTTGCGCCCTAAAGCCCTTGTCACTTTCACCTCTTCCATTCCCACGGTGACCTTTTGAACTTACTGATCGATGCTGCCCTGTAGATCGCACACACTCTTGTTTGCTGCAGTTTGTGTGGACCATCTGTCTGGAGTCATCTCTGTTTCAAGGTCGATTTTTTTGTCTGGATGCATTCAGTCGAAATTCTGCAGTAGACGCTGTGCACTGTTCAGCGGCATCTTTTACGCTTAAAAAAACAAGTGCTTTGCAGATTAAATGATTCAGAATAATTGAAATTTAAGCATTGAGCCCATAACTAAAAAGAGGTGCAGGTACATAAAAGAATTTACTGAAGACATGGATATAAAGCTACATTTCTTTCCAATTGTATAATAGTTATATTTGTTTAAATTCTCATTTAATTAGTGAAAAAGAATCTGGTCTCTGAGGCAGTTTTAATAAGCCCATTTTAGTCTTCCACATACTGCTAGCATAACCGCGATGTATGCTAACAACAGCCGTGTCGCTGTACTTTTGGGGGAGTGGCTTCGGAGAGAAGCCTGAAATTGACGGGCTGCCAGTGTTGATGCTAAATCGAGCGCTGCTAGCTACATTTATTGGAACGGTTGGTTCCCTTTTACAATTTAACGTTAGCAAACTCTGGTTTCTCTGATGTTGCTCACCTCCAGCTTTGAAGGCTGCAGTGGGGAGGTCTGTCTGTCACAGGTGTTCTTGCGATTGATTGATTGATTGATCACGCCTTTGCGTTGTGGTGATTAGTTAAAGCGGGGACTCCCCCCCCCAAAAAAATCATCATCAATAGCGGCTGAGCGTGCCGACACACGATGCCGCTGGGACCCTTTGACGGCGGCTGAGCCGTCGTTATTGTTATCAGTAACACTTTCATGTTTTCACTCTGACGAGTTTAAATGTTGTGAGCACAAACTGTTTCTTTCTTTGGCAAAGCTGTGTATTGTTCTTCAGGCCGCACACGCTTCTGCTCCGAATCTCCTTAAGTCTGGTGCATCAAGTCATGCAGCAGTCCATCCACGGCAACACGCCGCCTCAAACTAAATACCTCTAAATATGATTCCTAACCACGGCCCCCAAACATATATTCTTTTGCCAGCTGGGACTGTGTTTTTATGTGAAGACAGAGCTTTCTGGGACTGACTTTGCTCCAGCCAAGGTGATCTGTCATCGGCGAGCTGGCAGAGAGAAAGGAGAGAAATGCAGGGGGAGATAGAGGGACAAAAGCACGGCCATGCTGCGGTAATTGGGTTGCTGCTTTTTTTCCCCCGTCAGTTTCTAAAAGTCATTAGGAGCGTCGCTCTCTTCCCTTCCCTCTCTCCTTTCCTGTCCTCTCTTCCCATCGCTCTTTCATCCCTCCATCCTCTGCTCTTTCTTTCAATTCCCTCCCTCTCCTCCGTCTCTTCACTCTGTGCCAAAAACATATTCATCATACTCCTCTGCTGGCCTCACAGCACCGAGCCACAGCATACTAATGACAGTGTGCGTGTGTGTGTGTGCGTGTGCGTGTGTGTGAGAGACTGTCTGCACGTGTTTATACTTATGCGTTCGCTGGCGTAAATGCGTGTGAGTGTGAGTTGGCTTGAGTACACTGTATGTGCTTGTGGATTTCATTAAGTGTGTGTGTTGTGTCTTCCTCCAGGCTATAAAAGCATGATAATACACCATGCACTCATTTGCTATAAGCCTGTTAACAGCATGCAGAGGGAAATGCCACTGACTTCGTATCTCTAGCTCTTTCTCTCTCTCTCTCTCTCATTCGCCCTTCTTCTTTTCTTCGGCTTTGTTACCGGTCCGTCTCGTCTCCCCTTTGTCTTTCTCTCTCCCTCTCTGTCTCGCTAACTCAATCACCTTCTTCTCTTCTTTCTCGCTCTTTCCTGTTTATGTTGATCAGTCCCTGTGTCAGAGAGAGATAGGGAGTGTGGTGGAGAAGACGCAGTTCTAACCCTGTCTTGATATGTTGGCCTATTTTGTATATCAAAGTCTCTCTAGTTTGTCTCGCTGTAAAACATTTATATATTTTGAGTATTTATCTTCAACACTAGAGCCTATACATAACTTATCCAATTATATAGGATTTCCTGCGACGAGCCATACCCGTCAGCACTATAAAAAACTGTTGAAGGCGCTAGTAGAGCGATGTCATGTCAGAGAGACTCAAACAGAGCAGCGTCTACAAGTCTGTCTGAGGTAAACATCTGTGTATCCTGATCTACTGGGAGCTATTTTATTACGTATTATTTTAGCAAAATGCTGAATTAGAGTTGCCTCAAACAGCTACCTGGTGAATATGTCTCAGGCTTTTATTGTGAAAGGTAACAACAGAAGGAGTGGATCCGACCTGCGTTGCCTTTGTCGAATTTGTTTTGATGCGTTCCGTTTCAACATACTCACAACAAATATAACCATTCAAAAAAAATACTGACATCCCAATTATTTCCCCAAATGCCCCCAAAGTGTGTGTGTTTAAAAAAGAAAAAGAACACAGTTGTCATGTCACTGTGTGTTTAAAGAGGGAGAAAGGAAATGTCATTAACTGTTTCCTATCCATCCTGTCTATTCATCCTCATACTGAGGGCAATCACATGTAACCCACACTCCATCTGTAATTAACAGTTCCACTTTCAGCATGATTATAATAACTAAAACCACAATAACTGACCCGCTATCAGCTATAATTATGATATCCACCAATCATTGTAATTATTCAATCAAAAGGAGAGCTAAAAAGGGCTTATGAGAGGAATGTGTATCTTTTCATTAACAGAAAATATCTGGCGGACTCTTTGATAAGCGCTCAGATCAGTCCGCACAGTCGGGTAGAGGGCAGCAGCACGACCCCCACTGGCTGCTTTGAACTCATCTTTGGCATCATTAGAGCACGATGATAACCATTAGAGGGGGGGTGGCCACCGTGACAATTTCCAAAACCATAAAAACGAGTCAAGAGGAGCAGGACTACTAAAGCGCTCTTATGCAAAATGCCCTGTAGTGACAAAAAACAAATAAGAAAGGTTTCTTGCTAAAAAACAAAAAACAAACACTGGATGCAAATTACCCCCCTCCAAGGTATCAGTATCAAACATATACTGGGTACAATAAACGGAAGATCCAGTAATGTTTTGAAATCCTCAAATTTCACATTTTGGCCGCCGCCATCTTGTTTTATTCTTCAGCATTTGGGTCGGTGCAGCAGTTGCTTGTATTGACCAATACCATTAAAAAATATATTTTATAGTTAATAAAAAAGTATAAATATATCTAAATAATTCACGAGGGAAGAAGCCCTTATGTGTGTGTCATGTTTGCTTGTACCGCTCCACTGGGCCGCATGTCGGCAGCTCCCCTGATAAAAGCTTCCTTTTATATCCTCCACTTCCACTGAGCTGAATCCACTGTCAGTAACTGACAGGCGTCCGTGTAGATGGGACGTCTTTATAATTGTTTAATTGGCCTGATCAATACGCTCACGTGCTTCGCCTGTTGTTTACACTGGGAATCAAATCCCCACCCCTGCATTCATCTACGCCCCCCTCCCCCCCTGATCTGCCGCAGGGATTGCATATTTTGTGTATTGGAAGAATGAACAACTCTCACTTTGCCCTTTTCTGATCCCATTTGTTTGGTGGAATCGTGGGGCACTGGTCAAATTTCAAGGGCCGCCCTTGCGAGGTTTACTTTACAAAGGGGGAACATTGTACAATTACTCATTTATGGGGAAGCATTGCTTTGATCACTGCGTGTAGACTTGGACCAATTAGTGTAAACTGGCAGCCTGGTAAGATAGTTTGTTTTATTCATGGGTAGTTTGAAGGTAGGAAAGAGGAATTCAAGCTGTTGCTGGCATTTGGAGACCACAGAGGATCTTTAACGAGTCTCTGTACATACATCTGCGTTTGAAATCATCCATGTGGAAGAAAACAAGAGAGCAACGTGCAACTACAGTTTTTTTGGTGCAGGTACTGTATATATATATATATATATATGTGTGTGTGTGTGTGTGTGTGTGTGTGTGTGAGTGAGAGTCTCCTTTTGATTGTTTGTACTATTCTATACATATGGAGCTGTGGAACCCCTATCTGTCCACACGTTGAGGTCTTGGGAGGTGAAGGTTAATGTGCTCACACTTTCTTATGTGTGGGGAGAGATTACTAAATGATCGATCGGCTATTTTGTCTTTTTAAAAATATTCACATTCTACGTGTTGACCCTTGACCCTTACAAAGTCACACAGGTTGAAGCCACACTTTAAATGGAATATAACCTTGAGCTGCTTGAGTCTTTAAGCTCATGGTGCCGTTGTAATTGTAATTGGGCACCTTCAGAATTCATCCCATATTTAAGACAAATTATTTTTTTTCTCTCATGCCATTTGGCAAAAAAAACATGCAACACAATACATCCATATTTTCGACTAATAGGACACTCCGATATAGAAAGTAATAAGTAGGGAAATACGAGTTGGTTGGCCGGTGACTGAAATGGTGAAACACCCGCCGGTACTCAGCCGCACGGATCGACTGATGAGGCCTGAGCTGGTTCCTGGACGGACGAGCGATCCGTAAATGTCACGCGTATGAAGATGAACCTAATGTAATGGAGTTGAACGCCTGAGAGGCCGGAGGAGGAGATGGATGATACCCTCAGAGGAATTAATGAGCGGGGGGGGGTCGGTGGGGTAGGCGCTCACCTGCTGCTCGGCCTCTTCCTCGTCGCTGCTGATCTCCAGGTCATCCTCCAACATCCTGCACCCAGACAAAAGGGACACACGCATTACTGCTGCCCTGAACCCCCCCCCCCCCCGCTGTCTGCTTGTGTTAGGCCAGATACAGGGACGGGTCGGGATCGGAGACTCCCTTTGAAGGACCTCTCTGGCGATCTGGGGTTAAACGCATAGCGAAGGCAGCGCTGCTCCGTGTTGGGGAATGAGGAAGTGGACGGTGTGTTAAAAGCCCACCAGATGTTTGGCTTTTTGGAGCTCGGAGAGGGGAGCCAGATTGTTTTTTCACCTGGAAACTTTCTGTCTGACAACCGCTGACCTGCGGCCAAGAATTCCTTGGACACAAAGAGGACGCTGGGGGGCTGGGAATCGTTCCCCCTGTCAGGGTCGCACACGTAGGGGTAAAGCTTCCAGTAAGATAAAGGAGCAGCTTAATGCCCCGTTTACCTTTATTAGTGGCGCTTGTTTTATTCTCCCCGCGTCAGGCATGAAAATTGTAACCATGTAGACGGACGCGGGCTATGAAACAGATAAACAAGACCCAGTCGATAACATGACCCCCCCTCCTCCTGTGAGCATCACCTGCTCCTTGACGCACAAATTATTCAGTATTTATGTGCTGTGCATCGGCAGGCTCCCATGTTTTATTGCTTTATATAAACCTTCCACACAAACTCTGGTTGTTTTTAAGCTGCCACTGCTATTGTTATGACAGGAGAATCCCCCAAAGGGATTTTTTACTGCCTCACGAACCACTCTTGTCAATGCTTGCTCCGCAAAAAAAAAGAAAAATACCCCCAAAAAATAAAAAGAAACCACTCCCCAGTGTTGAGGTGTTTTCAGAGGGGACCGTACGAGTTGTGAATAACTGAGGGACAATAAGAAAAAGCTTTGCTGATAAGGGGCACGGTGCAGCACGCGGGGCGATGATAGATATGTTTGAATGAATGAATAATGGATTTGTGTTTTATTTCATAAGAAGGGGCAGATGCACAGAAGGAGATAGCGAGTGAGATGGAGATGATAATGACGCAGATGCAAAAGAAAAAGAGCAAGAGGGAGACTGAATACAGGGAGAAAGAGGGAGAGGGACAGAAGAGGGGGGAGAGGAATAAAACAAGAAAGAGAAAGAGTGGAAGCATCTATGAGGACGCAGTCGCGTACAAATGAGTTATGGACTAAAGCATCCGTGACACGCAGAGCTCGGAAAGCACAGCATCACATTTCTACAAGGCTCTTAATTGCCCTCATGAAATGGAGTCTTTATATCTTAAAATAAAGCGCTAGCAAGGCCCCATAACCTATTTAAGTTTCTCTCTACGGCAACACTGGAGGGACATACTATCTTACACACTAAACACAAAACCTTTCCGTTACAAGACAAAAAAATAATAGACAGAGGTACAAAATATTCCACCCGCCAAAGTGTGCTAAGGTCAAATATTAGGTTTTAACAATTTACATATAACCATGTGTTTACACAAACACAAAAAAATAGAGAGAAACACTTCAAAAATTCAAAAATTGCACAGCATCGTGTTTGGAAAAAAGTTTAATAAAGGATGTCAAAAGAAGTCATTGAGAGTGTGAGACTGATTGAAGCATTGCTGTTGTAAAAAGTCATAGACTTTAACACTTCTCATATTTTATGCTATTACGTGAAAAGGATCCTGTTTAAAATATGTACTTTTCAACATTAAATGAGATATTTGTGTGAATTATTTTCATTTTTGGCCACTAAATAAAATATCCATTGAGTTGTCATTTATAGTAATATTGACAAACTCCAACAGTCTGCATATTTGGTGAATTATACACTTTCTTGTATAAACGTTTTCACAAAATCTATTAATTTTCAGCAATTCATTTGGAATCACTGGGTAAGTAATAAAAGTGTTAAAACTTTATTGATAAAGTCTCAGGAGGTCATACATTCAATTATGTCAATTGGGAGAAGCCATTTTCCTGTATTCTAAACCCAATTAGCAAATGGAATTGTGGAATGTTCTGTAGAATAACGGTAGAATTCTCTCAGATTCTCTGATGGAATCCTTCATGCATATAAAAGCAATCGCTCACAGGACTCAGGAATCATTTCAGCTCAGTCAACCGATCGCACCAGCCAGACTCATCCAAGCTTGCGCTTTCTACAGATTCTTCTTTTCCACCACAGAAACAAACAAGTGAGTTACCAGCAACGCTGTAGACATTTAACAATTCATCTTAAAAGTTTAGACTGAAGCGCTTCAAGCCTTACTACCTTAATCCAATTTCACTTTTTAATGTTGTATAGTTTAATGCACCTTATAGGTGTGTATTGGCTCACTGATGAGAAGGAGGGAAAATGTCCATATGCTCTTTATTGTATTTCTTAGCTGTCATTAATTTCTTTACTATATTGTTCATCGTGACAACACCAAACAAGTGTTTGTATTTGTACGTGTGTTGCTGATGATTCGGCCCTTTGTGTTTCGAAATTTTTCCAGCCATGCTGAAGAAGCGCCGCTCGTCTCTAGAAAGCCTCCCTTTGCAGCGAGGATGGATCTTGCCCCCTCCTTCCGACTGTCGAGGAGCCTAATTACAAGAAAAAAAGAACCAGGAAAGTCTTCTGTTTGCTTGTGGTGAGTCTTTGCCTCAGTTATTTCTATTACACATGTACGTCCTGGGACGGCTGCTTTCCTTGTGTTCGTCACGTCAAACTGACTTTTGTCAATGTCCCTCTTTGTGTCCCATCAGGAGTGACGCAGTTCGCACGCCTCAGCATTCAGCTCCGGGGCGCCCAGCACCAGATAAAGATGCTCGCACAGCGGATGAGCTCCTTCAGCCCCGTCGCGGACACCATGAAAAACTTTGGCCAAGAGTCGCAGGGTGAGTCCTCGCCATTGCCTTCATCATCATCATCATCATCATCATCATCATCATCATCATCATCACCGTCTAATCAGGTCGCACAGGTTGTGGAACTGGTTTCGGAGGTCGTTTTCTAACTTTGTATTTGTGTCCCTTATTTGCAGGAGCCAGAGTTCTACAGCGGCTCTCCTCAGACACATACCGGACCAGCATGAAAGAAAAAATGCTGGATAAGCTGCTCTCTTGGTTCATCACATCCAAAGACCACCAGAAACTAATCCAGGTAGGAATGTCTTGTAATTCCACTTTTTAACCTTCATGGTATCTCACATGGAGGAACATGTAGACGGCGGTTGTGGTGGATCACCTGTGAACACCAACGTGACTTTGTCTCTCGTCAGGATCATTCGGGGTCGCTTCCTTCAGAGTGCTGGCGCTTCGCAGGGCCCCAGGGAGACACGTCGTCTCCTTGTCGCACACCGTCACGATCACGCACGTCACACTCGGACACGTCACAAAGCAACAGTCTCTCACTGGAGAACTAACCAGTGCGCCGAAAGAGTTCTCCATCTATGTAAGTCCGACGTTTTTCCTTGACGCGTCCCGCCTACTCTTTGGGGTTGTTCCATCAAAAAAAAAGCTCAACTCTTCTTTTTTTCTGTCTCTTGCAGGGAATGACAAACGAGGACGAAGAAGCCATCCACCTGGAGACATTCTTATACGAGCAGGGGGGCTCAGCCTCGCAGATCTTTGAGCTGCCCGTGACTATATCAGAGGGCAACAGAGCAGCACTGGTGAACTTTGCTACTTGTAGCTACATTAACTATAATAGATAGAGGTGGAGCGGCAATCCAAACTATATTTGTCCCTGACTCCCTTCATTCACTTCTCTCTCTTGTCTCTGACCAGAACGCAGTCAAAGCCACGTGAAGCTAAAGATACAGAGCAACTGGGCCAATGAGGAACAGACAGTCATCGGGTTTGAGGTAAGGGGGTGAGGTGAAGGGTCAACCAACCCTGACCATCCAGGAACAAACAAATATAATGTGTCCTTACATATAGATAAATGTAAACAAGAAGTGTAATGACACTCATACTTGTGCCACTAAAGTGCAACAGCATCACAGTGACACCGGCCGCTCCCTGTCCTCCTCTCCTGGTGCACACAGGCTGAGTCAACACAAGGGTCTACTACTACGACGAGGGGACAGTACTCTCTGCTCTGAGGAAGAACAATAAAGAAAGCTCCTGCTCCCCATGTGGCATTAAGGGACTCAGCCCATTTGCAGGGATTACTGTGGGATCAGTGTGCAGTAATGGTCGGACATTGTAAACGCCCAGCTAAGAATACGGCAATTAGCCTCAACAGCATTATTACTCTTGAGGAAGACGAGGTCGGCCTCTTCATTATCCCCAACATTTTGCGCCGTTTGAGCTTCTCAGTAAACAGCAGTAAATAGCTTATAGTAAATAACGGCTGCAGTAAACTAGACATTGTTTTTAACCAATAACAATGATTTCACCCAAATAAACAATGCGGTTTTGTGCTGGAATACAACATGGGGAGGATTCACACCTTGGGGCAAACAATGGTAATCAAAAGAAAGAGCTTAATGGATTTTGAGGTGTAAGTGTAAGAAGCCCCAGAAAGCACTGCAGCTCCAGCAGACATCATCCTAATGGAGATATAATTAACTATGTAACTACATACCCAAGAGGAGGAAATGAGAGTTTACATGCTGACCTCCTGTCAACTACAGAGCGTGCTGACTTGTTTCTTAACTTGCAGGTTTTTTGCATCATCTTTCGGCCATCGAGTCTTTTTCATTTCTACCAGCCTCGTTTTGACATGCGCTTGCCACATTATCTTGATCTCATTTTTTTTTTAATTAGCTTTTATCAAATGCATAAATAATGCATTGCACAGAGCACTCGAAAACTCATTTAATATGATAGCTGGAAGAGCAAAGATCCTCTTCCGCGGATGAAGAAAGGAATTAATCAAGATGAAGTAAAACGATTTGAAAGGGAAGCGAAAACAAATTAGTGGATTTAGGTAATACTCCGATACCACGAATAGGAACATTTTCTCTGCTTTGGATGCAAATTTATTCCCGGTGGAATGGATCATTGACTGTTTGCTAAGCCCAACCAACCTGAGCTCGGCTACTGTTGCTAAACATTCTTCAACGGTACTTGTGAACTCCCCAGCTATAACCGTTCTCTGAACAACAAGACCGGCTATCTATTCTTAGTTGCTAATTATCCAGCCTATTTTTCTGGCTTCAATGACAAACGATTTTCATTTTTTTGGTAAACCAAAAGCAAAAGGCCAAAGCCTCAAAGTTTTATCCCAGAAAAAAAGGCTTCCTCTCCAGCTCATGAAACGTGTGGTAACGTGGTGGTGAACAAGCAGCATAGTTGGTGGAGGGAAAAAGAATAATCTGACTCACTTATTTCATTCTCCCATAACATTCTTACGCACTAAATCATTTAGTAAGGAGTGTGTTTTACCTTGAAGATGCTTTTAAGATGACTAATCGGGACACTAAGTAGTGCAAGAAATTAGGCCGAGGTTCCTGAAGTTCAAAACTACCCGAAGCGTAACACATTCAGTTGATAACAAATATCCGCCCCATTTCTTTCTGAATTAATGAGATCAAAATCTCAAAAGTATGACACAGTCTCTTAGTTTTTTCATATTTGCAAGAATCAGCAAAATCCAAAGAGAAGTTCTCATTTAATTAATAGATCAATTTCATGGAGCAAACTCGTATAGTTGAGATTCATTGAGTCCGAGTTCAATTGAAGCAACTAAGGCGTAAATGCTGTGTCAGATGCATCATCTTATATCTGATATCTTTCAGGAAGCATATCCTCTCCCTTAACTGATCGTGGTGAAGAAAACTCAATGTCCAGCAGATCAGAAGATAAAAAACGGCTGCAAATGTTTGCTTCCATGAATTCAAGCTCCAAAATTGACAAGAGCGACGAGGCAATGTGTTCCTTTTTTCCTCCCATGAAAACATCTGTACATCGTATAGCTGGTTAGATGGACCTGCTAACAACCATTCCTTTTCCATTTAAGCTGCTCATTTTGGAAAGGGTGAAGGCTGTGCATGTGTAGCTACAGTCTCTAATCTAGGATTGGTAATGACTATTTCGGGGAAAGGGTTTAACGAACGGTCAGTTTCCAAAACAAAACGGTTGATCTGCGAAAGGATTTACAAGTAACTCCAATCTGACTCTGCCACGAATCCAGCTGTGAATGAAGCGAAGAGGGCTGCAGCCAGAGATGTTGTAATCTCTCTTTTTTTCTTCTTCCTCTCCTCCTCCTACAAGCAGTACATTTCATCCCAGAGTCAAGCTTAATTTGAGGCAACAAAACAAAACCTTGAGGCATAAGCAGCAGTGGCGGGTCAAGACTCCTCCGTTCATGTATGTGTGTGTGTGTGTGTGTGTGTGGTTGAGGGGGAGATACTCACGACTTCTGTGGTGCGGTCGGTGGTTTCGCAGCAGGCTTGTTACCCGATATAGAACATCGCTCTGCAACAGAAGACGTTCAGGAATAACTGTTTTGCATTGCTCTCGCTTTGCGTGTTGATTAGTTTTTGACAAGGAGGCAGACTCAAATAGTTGTCACTCTGAAAAAAAAACATTCTGCAATGTTATTTCATTAGAGTGGTTGTGCGTTTTTGCTTTAGGTAACACGATGAATGAAATCCAAACTTAAATGCAGTGCCTGACAATAACAAGGAAACACTTTTTTCTTTTTTTTAAATAGATTCTTTTAGAGCAGAACCCCATTCACCGCATTTCACATTCTAGTCAGTGTTTCTTCCATTGGTAAATCAGAGAGGAGGGAACCCGCCAGTGGGAAAATATTTCATCTTTATATACATCACCAAGATCTCCCAACACTACGGGAGGAGGGTTAACACGAGAGCAGCAGTTTTGCAGAGCTTTTGATGATCTGATGCCCGGGAGTCAGTGCGGCTGTAATGTACCATCGTATTGGCTGATGTGATGATGCACATCAAGAGACCAAAGAGATTCCACTGATCTGGATTTCGCTCCGCTTTTTGTTTATGTATATTTATGTTAAAGTAGCTAACACTCATGTGGCTCTTGCTGTATTAGAGAATTGTAGGCAATGATGGAAATCAATCATCAGATATTGGATTTATAGCTGCTTCAATGTGATGAAATGTTGTATTCAGTTGGGTATTTAAAGCGACCCTGACAGTTTTTATCTCGCCTTGATTTGAGGATTTGAATTAATTGCATTACAGCTCAAAGGTTTGGACACACTTTATCATTTAATAGAATGAGACAATGTGTCCAAATGTTTGACTGAACTTGTATAAACTTTTATATAGTTTAGAAATATATATTATATACAATTTCAATATTTGTAAAATAAGTACATACTTTTCCACTTCAGTTCATTATATTATATTATATTATATTATTATTAGGTCGTTGTGTTTGCTTGTTACAGCTGGAACACACTCATCTCTCTCTCTCTTCTCAGGTGCAACCATATGATTTAGGACCCTTTCTTTAGAACTGGTTTCCAGTCGTATTTATTTCATATTGTTTTAGAGGTATGTGCGTGTGCCTGTGTGAGTGGGTTGGTGATGAAGTGTAAATGAATTCTAGGTTGGCAGTGCCACGAGCAGCTCCTCTCATTTTTAAAATCACTTTCCTAGAACGATGCAATTGCACCTTGCATTACTGTGATGATTGGATTACCGAGATGTGGATCATGTGTTAATTGTTGCCATCCAATTGTAAGTAATCCTTTGATATATGCTAGAACCATCAATTGGTCGGGAGCGCACTGGCATCTCTGTGCGATTAGATTAATTCAACCCATCACATGTTGTGAGAGAAAATTGAATCCAACATTTCACGCGTCGTTACTGTGGGTTGAAGCACCTGATGAGCTGCACTCACCACTTCAATGTGAGCAAATGAGTATGTCTGAATATGTAATTTCATCATCAATGGTGGCACAAGGCAGTCCGGTGCATTCAGGACACACATATTATAATCCTTGTGTACGGCCATGTTGGTGTGGTTATTAGTTGCGATGAACACAGAAAGATAAAAGCAAGGCCTCTGTAAACCGGCACGTTCCTGTGGCTTCATTCCAACACCAAGCTGCTGTTTCTTCTGGGTGGTGTTGCCTTTACGGCCCCTTTGTTGTTAATTACCACGGAGCCACAGTGTGTGTGTGTGTGTGTGTGTGTGTTTGGATGCTGGCAAAACTTACTCTGGGTATTGTAGCCTGAAGTCCCATGCTGTGACTCCTAGAGAGAAAGAGGGAGAGAGGGAGAGGGCGATGAGTTGAATGAATTAACCAACAGATGTCATTATTGATTTCACAGCAGTACAACAAGGCCATTACACGGCATTCAGACCCTCTCGCCTCCACCTCACTCTCAGATACCTCTCCGGCAGGATTAGCGTGACGCCGGGGGCTGAGAAGTCTTTTCCCTAATTCATTAACTAGCGGCTCCAATTTACTGTGGCGACGTTGCCACTCGCATTGACGTTGCCACTATCTGACGTTAAAAAATGATTCATGGAGGTGTTCGGCGGTGGGGAACACCTGCTGTCTCAGGCAGAATATCAGTGTTGACTATAATGTTCATGTCGTTTTTCTTCATGTGACAAATACTCCCACAGTTTACGTTACGAGGCGTCGTAAAGCGCACATCTGGAAATCCTTTAGTCGCAGCTTTTACTCGGCCTCTGTCTTTGTGGATTACCGTTGTTGTGTTCTCAGGAAAGAAGAAAACAGCAACTAAAAACTGAATACAGGATGCTCTATAGCTTTTAGCCATGTTTCTCTATCCATTTTTTTAACAGCCTCTCAAATGAGGCATCTTTTTTTTTTGCCCTTTAGCGTCCAAGCTAATAAGCTAAGGAGCCAGCTGCTTTTGTTTGCCCTCTCGTTGGCGTTATTATGACTAATGAGCGCTAGCATGTTCTGGTTAGCATGTTTGTGGTTAGCCTAGTTAGAACACTAGAGATTCCAGTGAACAGTGGATGGTTAGGCTGGTCTACGGCTGGTCTACGGCTCATCCGTATTAGTCCATGGCTGGTCTACGGCAAGTCTACGTTTTGTAAAGCAGCTTGAAGCACTACATTTAGGAACTTTGCAGTTGGCCGATTGTGAATAATCGGTCCAGCTAAGGATAATTAATGCGTGTCGTATATTATACAGTAAAACAAGTCATTATTATTAAGGGACACACGTTTCAGTCAGTATGTCATTTGTAGATATACACTTTTATAAAAATGTTAACAAATCGTTAAATGTTAGTTCATATTGTTCATTAATGAGTGGACTTTTGGGCAGTTTATAGCACTTGAGCTCTTCCTGTTGGAAGCTTTATTTAAGATGAACATCTGCAGCTAGAGACTTCAATGCATCATTAACGCTGTTATTTCATTGGTGCTCACTTGCATGCCGGAATGAGGCAAACACTTCAGACCTAATTAACAGAACGAGGATCCTCTGTGACAAAACACAGTAACTTTCACAGAGACTTTCTGAACTCTTGTTAGTCTATTTTGTTTTCTTGTTTCATCAACTCACACAAACAAAGGAAAAGTCCGCAGCCGCAGCAGATGATAACAACACTCGAAGCATACGCGAGAGGAGGGAGCTGGTACTCACCTTGTTCGGGATGGGGAACTTGGTCTGGTCGGCCTTCCCGGGTGTGTGTATCGCTGTGAGGGGAGGAGGCCAGGAATGGGTCATCTCCTACGACAGACACACACATTTGTACCACATTATTTACTACACATCATTATGTGACAACTAAGCATTTTCTGGCACCGGTCCAAACTAAATGTGCTGCTTGATGCAGCAGAGTCAGCGTTCGATCGAGGCCCTGATGAAGCATTGGACTTAAATAGAGCGTATGGTGCGATTGGGGGGGCCAGTGAACATCAGCAGGCTGAGAGACAGCTGAGTTCAGAGTTGTTGAATTTACCACAAAAAGAAAGAAAAGAAGCTGAGTCCAGTTGGTTGCAGCTGAGAGCCACAACAGCAGGATGCCGTTTCAATTATTCTAATCGCACGCTCTTCTCGGTTCAATTCCAAGTCTCAATGTGTAGAAGCTTCCTTAACGAGCTAAGCACGTGTGCGTGCGCCTGCTTGGTGGCCCACTAGTCACTGGGGAAATCTTCTCCCACACCAAAGCCCGCTAAATATCCATATTTATTCAGTACACTTCTTTTTGCAGGACAGCAAAGTCCCATCTGGCACCGAAAGGTCACTGAACTGACGTCACAATTTACCCATGTACGCCTGCACCCCCCACCCCCTCCAGGTGGAGATGACTCATGTTCCTCAGATGACTCAGATGTTTTGTGTGTGTGTGTGTTTGTGTGTAAGTCAGCTCAGTACTCGAATACGCCTCCATTGGCATGTTTTTTTTTTACCGACATTGCTACGCACCCATCCCTGACGACACTCGGTGCGTTGCCAGGCAACTCTTTTCTGACATCATCGTGGGACCTACTAGAAGAGTTCCTCTTGACGGCACTCCTGACACTGTGCGTGTGTCTCAATCATTGTTTGTGTGTGTCTGTGAATGCGTTGATACTGACATTGTGTGTAATCCACTCAGTCACCCTATCTCTCTCTCTAACACACACGCACAGATCTACATGTATCTGTGGTTTCCCACTTCTTATCTATTAAGTCGTGCCATCCATCATCTCTCTATTCCAGCTCAATGCAGAATGTATTCACTTCTAAGTCCCGTTGAGTGTGTGAGCAGATGTTCTCTCTGCTGTCCTCACACAACGGATCTATCTTACCTCTGACGCAGCCCTCTAGTCCAAACGTCATATAACTGACTACTGACTAAACCCCTAAAAGTAATATTCGCCGTGGCTTTCGATTAGTTAGTGACTTTGCCGTTACTGACGTGAAGCAAAACAAATGGTTGTGTTTCCTGAACCCGCAGGCCAGATCGCACAGCATGTGTTGTACTTAAAGAATGTCCCAAATACATCTCCTCAATCAGAAAGAGCCACCAAATCAAATTATGACATTTGGATATTTCATCAAAAATACCTAAATGTGTCTATCGTCGTTAGCATTTTATGCCTCATTCAATTTTAAAAACTTTGGCCCAAATAAAGTGTTTGCAGATACCGGATTGTGTAAACCAGGGGTTCCCAACTGGGTGTGTGTGTCTGTGAGTTGGCGATGAAGTTGCGCCCCCCCCTGTAATGCCACTGCGCCAGCCTCAGGGGCGCGCCCCCCTGTTTGGGGAGGGCTGCTGTAATTAATACTAAATCCTCAGACTAGAAGTCACATAACAGAACTCTGTGAAACTTTGACTCAGAGAAGAAGTACAGCTTGTGCTTTTTTTTGTTGAAGAAATCATCCAAGAAATTCATCTTGTGGGTTTTTCTTCTTTCTTTTCATGATTCATGGAATTATGACTCTCTCATGCAGCACTAAAGAAATGGTTGAACTGACCTTTTAACCACAGCCTTGATTATTGCTCCTCTCTTCAGGACGTAATGGTAAACATCAATAGGGTTGCAAATTTCGGGATATATTCCAATTTGTAAACTTTCAATGGGAATATACAGGAATAAACTGGCCCCCCCCCCCCCCTGGAACTGCATTTACTTTGTCATATATGATAAAACAACATTTTGTTTTGTCATGAAGAGACATCCATGTAAACCTTTTGATACAACTTTTACTTACTTAATCCATTTGTGAGTAGAACTTTATTATTTCATCGAACAGCAACCTGAATGTTGAAAAAAATAGTGTATTCCATCTTCCTTCCCATGGAAAACTTTCCAGAAAGTTTGTGGCAATTTACCGGAAACTTTCCGCCCTTTTGCAACCAGTGGTATAATATCCGCGGCCCAGCACCAAACAGTCTGGAGCCTTGTAGATTAGCTGCTTTATTCATTCATCAAATGCATCTTTATTTGCGAGTATGGATCAGCTAGGATCTGCAATTGAAATCAATTTAAAGAAGAAGAAGATATTTTGATAATGCTACCTGTGTATATAGTTACCATACCATATGCTTACAATAAGAAGGGGTGAATTCATCTATGGGAGGACATATTTGGTCCCTGGTATCATTCTGCCGTGTAAATGGTCTCTGCAGTCTTTCAAAGCTTTGAAGTCCTTCTGTACACAATGTGTGATATCTGATATTGACGCGCTGCTACCTTGAATAGTGAAAACCTCCAAAACAACAATGATTCTGTCACAACCGACTTGTAGCTGTGCCCTCGCGGGGAGGTTAGACCGCAGGCCTCTGCCCGATTCACCTCACCTCACGTTCTGAACTCCCCCAATCTTTCCACTTGACACAGCAACATAAAAACGTGTCCCTGAATTCAATGGGGCAACGATGTTATTGACAAAGGCTTTTCATGCAGCTCACAGAGAACGATCTGTCACACAGCCTGTTGGCCAGCGCATCGATTTGTGAACGGGAGAGAGCGCTGAGTGACACAGAGATGAAGAAGAGGGGAAGAGAGTGAGGGATGCGCTAAAAGCAGATGGAGACCAGTGTTCCCTCCGGGTTCACAGGTTTACAGGTTTACAGCTTGGGCTGGGGTGGGGTGGGGCATTGGGGTTGCGGACGGACGGACGCCACATTTTCCGCCGAGCGCTCTCTGTCCGCTGGTGGGAGTATGCCCAAAAACCCTTATAGAGCCCCTATCCCCGCCGACCCCGCCACCCCCCCCTCCCCAACACAACAGCAGGGGAACCATTGGAGACCAATAGGGAGATAACCTGACACGGGGCAGTCAGAAACATCTGTTTTGACAACGGCCTTAAGGAGCACAGCGAGGAAATGTGTTGCTTTTGATGACATGCAGACAGGAAAAGGGAAACAACACAGAGAAAAGCAGATGAAACCTCCTGCATGAGGTCATCCTGAACAAAAACTTGTATAACCATTGACCTGAGCCAACACATCCCTCTTTCTTTTCTCTCCCTTGTCCTTTCCTCTTAAAATCAGACTCTCTGGAGGGAGACGAAGGTCTTTGAGCAAACAGAAAACAGCTGATAATCAGTGAAATTACCCTGTGTGTGTGTGTGCGCGTGTGTGTGTAAGCAACATACCCGCAAAATCTCTTCAACACAGCTGGAGTCATTTGGTAGGCTGACCTGAAGAAAACAAAAGAGAGAGAGAGAGACGTCAAAGCTACTTAAAGCACCATTGGGTCACATGTAACAGAAACAGAGTGGGAATACATAAAAAAATTCCACGCAACAGTCATAATGAGGGTTTTTCTATAGTCACAATCTGGTTTCTTTTCTGAAAGTAACAGGGTGGGGAGGGGGGGTGGCAAGAAAACCTTTAGTTAATCAACACTTGATTGAAGGATTTGCAGCCTTCCGTCGTGGACGTTGTCATTGTGTCCTGGACTTTCAGCGTCGAGATAAAATGTTGTTGCTGAGTTTATAATGCAAAAGCTTCATGGACCCAATCCCAACCCCCCCCCCCCCCTGATTCCTGAACCCTCAGGGATTCACTGACGTCACCTGGTAAGTGGTTGAGTGTGCGTCTCTGAGCGCTTTAAATTGTGTATATTTGAATGGGACAGCAATTAGCCGCCACATCATGACAAACAAAAGTATGTATTTGATATGTTTTACTGATTCGAATAACTTCCACTTTCTTTCAGTCGAAGGGCCCAATATGTTCTAAACCGGTCGGTTCTTCTATTTCAGAGCTAGGAGGAGCATAAACACCGGCCCACTGCCGAACTGTCGCTCCCAAAAAGTAATTGAAAGCAAAATATAGCGACGACAAACAAGCTCATTAAAGAGGAAGGAAAAGAAGAAGAACGAGGCAGAGGGACAGCTGGGAGGACGGCAGAGACGCGGTGTCCTGCCCTCTGTCGCACACCATTACTAACGGCACCAACATGAGCACAATAACAATTTAGTAACCATGATGAGGAGGATGACTTCATCTTCAGGCTTAAATCACTGACCGGTAACATAACAAAGCAATAAAAGAGATTCTAGCTGTTCTGTCTGTGTGTGTGTGTGTGTGTGTGTGTGTGTGTGTGTGTGTGTGTGGACACAGAGTCTAAACTACAAAACCTCCATCTGTTTTCTAGACATGAGCTGTGCCTCCACACAGGCTCATTACTCCCTGTATCAACATTGTATCAATCAGACAGTGAGTCATCAGCAAACCGTAGTGGGAGGACAAAGACGTGAGCTTTCCAGAGGAATATTTTTGGCTCCTTCTACCCCAAAATATACAAGGTGCAATCTGTACAATTGTGGACAGAAGTCTAGTTTAGAACCAGAAGAGGGTCACAGCGGCTACGTTCAAAGACGTGTCGTACAGACCAAACACGATAATGATACGATAGCAGCGTTAAGTTGAGCTTAAGCTGTCCTGTTACATTTCAGACTTTTTTTGCCCTGCTGGAAATTTGTTTGGAAATTTTCCCTAGTGGTTCGGAATATGTGGCTACCCATTACACAATGCACCTTTCCAAAACTAATATTCTTTATTATGTTAATAAGAGAATATGCGTACATTTTAGTTCATTTTAGTTCAAAGAGAAGACAATAAAATAATAATAATGTGACCATTGACTGTCTGCAATACATACGAATCTCACTACAGCCGTTTTCTATGATCAATAGAGACCGTGAGACAATTCAGGGACATACCTACATATTGTGTGAATCATGGTGTTGAACTTCACATGTTAAGTGACTTGTTCAAGACAATCGGTTAGTTTGTCTGTTGATGTTGAACATCTTGATCCAACAGATCATGTCGATCTTGTGGTCTCTCCAAAAAGAGCGTTCCTGGGTGTAAAAATGAAAGCACATTCTCACCCTTTGTCTCTGACAGACAGAAGTGGAAACACTCGTATGTTTTCCGGCTAACAGGGTCCATCTATTTCTGTGCATACATGTGTCTCCTCCTGCCTCGCTCTAACCCGCTGCTGTCCATCACGCTTGTTCCTAGCTCACTGGAGCACAGCGAGGACACAGCCAGGCCTCCGTGTCCCCCCCCCCCCCCCGTCTGCAGTACGGACCTCTGAGGCAGATGGCGCACTCTCTGCATCGTAATAAAACATCGCAGCACTTGGAAGTCTATTCCGGGCACGCTGAATACAAACCGCCTGTAATGGACACATGACTCCCGCGTGTGCGTGTGCGGCTGTGTGTCTGACCGTGAGCCTGCGGTTAATGCCAACGACTATAAGGTGAAAGGAATATTGAATTTATAAAAAAATAGGAGCGATGAGCGAGAGCCGGAGAGGAAGTCTGCAGGAGGAGAGAGGACAGAATTCAGAGGGAAAATAGGTACCAAAGAAAAATGAGACGGAGGGGGGATTCAGCCGAGGCAATTACTGAGGCAGAAATCCTTTCGCTCTGAAATTGCTGCTCAGATAGATAGACGTTTACACACATAAACGCACTCTCTCTCTCACACACACCTACACACACACTCCTCAAGGTAGTGGATACAGAGGAAAACACACAGAGCGCTGTAACTAAACCACTCCCATTATTGATTAATGTGCTGATTGCTTTCTCAATTAATTGATTGTTGTAAGTACGAAGATTAGAAGTAAATCCTGAAGAAAACCATCGAGAAGCCTGGAGATCATATGTCTGTAGTTGGGTTCATTTGATTCAGAGCAAAGAACGGGGAAAAGGAGACTTTCCTTTTGCCTCTAATCTGATTCACCGGCGTCCATTAAGAGAAGAGACGAGATGAGACGGGAAAAGACGAGAAGAGACACAAAGAGTCTCTAAGCACTCAGTGGGACGATCTCAACATGCAAGAAAAAAACTAAAGCCTTGCCAAAATATCTCAATATAGAAAACACTAAGAACTGTATTTTTATTGGAAGAATACCGTTGCCTGTGCAGCGCACGGCGCATCAGGACTATCTGAGCACGTGTGGTGCAGCAGAGTCGTCCTACAGTGAGTGAGACGGCCAGGGCAGAATGTCATTGGAGCAGATCATACAACGTGCAGTCTGGGTCTGGGCTTCCGCTGGTGCGCATACGTGTTCCCGTGGGCACCAATTCATAGGGCATGAGATTTATGACGTTTGTAATGATCACATATAGTGTTAAGTGTTTGTCTGTTAACATAAAATGATTTTTGCTCTGGAAACGGATCTATATTCATTCCAATAGGAAAATACCTTTGCAATAACAGTGTGACAACTATAGCAGGATAGTTGTAATCTTTATGTGCATGTTTTTATTTATCATAATGCCATAATTTTATATTTGACCTTTGACACTGGTTTACAGCACTCGGGCTAAACATGCCGCCATAAAAGCCAGGTGATGGTGCTCATGTGTATTCCATCCAATCCCGTGTATTTATGCTTGCTGGTCGGCCGGGATGAAGAAAATTCCTTTTTGTCATTTGTAATCAATGATTTGATCCTGGAGAGGTTGACCGTTGGTCCAATCAATGATCTGTTCATGGTTCTTGAGTTAGTTTTGAGAAGTCACTGATTAGAACTGAATGTTTTGAATCCGTCGGATTGGCAATCAAATAATCTTTGATTTGCTCTCACGGCTTTGTGCTGCTGAGCACAAAGACACTTCGCTTACAGTGACGTGGCTGCAAAAAAGCCCGTAGGAAGTCAAGAGAAAGAGAGGAAACCCCCGTTAGGTGCACGCGGGAATGTTTGACCTTCGTCTACACAAGACTACGCTGGTTACACAAGTCACAGTCTTACACAAAAAAAAAAAAAAATTATAAATATGTCATACGTCTCTATTCTTCAGTAATATGTTTAATTTATTGTAGAGCTTGGGACACCTTCATTTAAAATGAATGTGACGGTTTATAGTCAAAAGTTAACACTGCATTGATAAGTCGATCATTGGTATTTAATTTTCTTTTATTAAATATGGACAGCCCGTCTGTATGCATAAAGAGGGTGTAATAAGGATTATTATTATTGTATATTATAGTCTCAACATGTCGCACACATGGCACCAGTTATGCCCTGACGCTCCGTTATGATTGGCCAGACAAATGCTCATTACAACAATTTGTCCCATTAGGGAGGTTTACACTCCACACGCAGCCGCCTAAAAAAACTGCATCACACGCAGGTTTTCCTCTGAAAACGCTCTCCGGGTTCACTTTTATGGAGCGCAGCCTTTTTCAGGTTGCCAATCCACCAAAGGGTTTTGTTTCTTTTGTACTGGAATTAAAAATCATTAAGAGGTAATTATAGTAATGTGTTTGAGACTGAAGAAACAGACTCATCTCTACGTAAATGTACTGGTGTGTTACTGTTTGTATGTGTGTGTGTGTGTGTGTGTGTGAGAGAGTGAGCTGAATCACTCACTGGAAGCATGTGGGATGACAAAATTTGAATTAATAAAAACATCCCTGAAGACATACGGTCTATTCATATCTACAATTACATAGAGCTAGTTTGAGATTGGCAGGGAGAGAAGAAGGAGAGAAAAGACAAGATGCAACAGAGAGAGAATCAGGGAGGATAATGAGCAAAGCAATAGAGAAGATTGCCCGGAGACAAAGTCAAACAGAATCAAATCTGGAGCCGGACGGATGTAAACACGTTCTTTCACCTTCCTCAGAGGTAGCCATTAACTCACCCTCGCCTATTTCTCTTTTATCTTAGAAATGGTTTTCTCAGGATGCTGAAAATGTTTACTTTGCTGGCTTAATTACACCAAGTAGGAAAAACCAGAAAAGAGGCCTTTGCCTAGTTGTCGTGAAAAAGTAAAACATGGACTGTGCGTCTTTCAGTTGCCGCGATTGAAGTTTTGGAGGGAAATTCCAACCGGGTTTGGAAAATCTTCAAGGATTTTTTTATCCACAGGCTTCTCGTTTATTCAGTTTCATGTGCTCCTTTTATCATCCATATTTCAGCTGTTTACAGAGCTGGAGTGACCGCCATCACTGGGATTACCAGCATGCTAGATAGATCATAAGCACTGCCCTCAGAGGGGTGTGTGTTGATTCAACAGCTGCTCTGTTGTGTGTGTGCACGCTTGCGTACGAGTCAGTCTGCCTAATAATTCAAAGATTGTCGAGTACAGATAAAACCGACTCACGCTTTCATCTCTTCACCTCTCAAATAAAAAGTTGGAGGTCCTGTGGCGCTCCTGTAGACGGCACT